ATACTCTATACTCTTTGCCAACACCACAATTTAAACGCATTAATTCTTCTTTGGTCTTCCTTATGCATTGTGGAGCCCATGGCTTGGGTCAGGGGGCACCTTAGTCCTTAAAGTGACATCTTTACTTTTTAACACTTTAAAGAAATCTTTTGTAGCAGATTTGCCCAATGTAATGTGCTGCTTGATTTTTTGACTGCTGCTACTGAGGGTGTTGATTGTGGATCTAATTAAAATGAAATCCTTGGCAATGTCAATCTTTTCTCTGTTTATCATAATGTTGCTTGTTGGTCTAGTTGTGAGGATTTTTGTTTTCTTTATGCTGAGGTGTAATCCATACGATAGGCTGTGATCTTTGATCTTCCTCAGTAAGTGCTTCAAGTCTTCTTCACTTTCAGCAAGCAGGGTTGTGTCAGCTGTGTAACACAGGTTGTTAATGAGTCTTCCCCCCATCCTGATGCCACGTTCTTCTTCTTATGGTCCAGTTTCTCAGATTATTTGCTCAAGATACAGACTGAAAAAGTATGGTGAAAGGATACAACCCTGACACATACCTTTCTTGACTTCAAACAATGCAGTATCCCTCTGTTCTGTTCAAACGACTGCCTCTTGGTGTAAGTACAAGTTCTTCATGAACACAATTAAGTGTTCTGGAATTCCCCTCTTCACAGTGTTATCTATAATTTGTCATGATCCACACAGTTGAATTCTTTTTCATAGTCTATAAAACAGGGGTAAACATCTTTTTCGTATTCTCTGCTTTCAGCCATGATCCATCTGACATCAGCAATGATATCCCTTGTTTCACCTCCTCTTCTGAATCTGACTTGAATTTCTGGCAATTCCCTGTAGATCTACTGCTACAACTGCTTTTGAACCATCTTCAGCAAAATTTTACTTGTGTGTGATATTAATGATATTATTAGACATTTTCCGTATTCTGTTGGATCACCTTTTGTGGGAATGGATACAAATATGGATCTCTTCCAGTAGGTTGTCCAAGTAGCTGTCTTTTAAATTTCTTGGCATAGACCAGTGAACATTTCCGTCACTGCATCCATTTGTTAAAACATCTTAATTAGTATTCCGTCAGTTCCTGGAGCCTTGTTTTTGGCCAATGCCTTTTCAGTGCAGCTTGGACCTCTTCCTTCAGTACCATCGGTTCTTAATGATATGCTACCTCCTAAAATGACTGAATGTTGACCAGTTCTTTTTGGTATAGTGACTCTGTGTATTGCTTCCATCTTCTTTTGATGCTTCCTGCATTGTTTAATATTTTGGCCTGTGGAATCCTTTAATATTGCACCTCAAGACTTGAATCTTTTCTTCAGTTCTTTCAGCTTGAGAAATGCCCAGTGGGTTCTTCCCTTTTGGTTTTCTATCTCTAGGTCTTTGCACATTTCATTATAATACTTTACCTTGTATTCTTCACCTGCCCTTTGAAATCTTCTGTTCAGCTCTTTTGCTTCATCATTTCCTCCTTTCCCTTTAGCTGCTATATGTTCAAGAGCAACTTTCAGAGTCTCTTGTGACACCCATTTTGGTCTGTTTTTTCCTTTCGTTTTTAATGACCTCTTGCTTTCTTCATGTATGACGTCCAACAACTCATCTGGTCTAAGGTCATTAGTGTTCAATGCATCAAATCTATTCTTGAGATGGTCTCTAAATTCAGGTGGGATATACTCAAGGTCGTTGGCTCTTGTGGACTTGTTCTAATTTTCTTCAAATTTGACTTGAACTTGAGTATGAGTGATTGATAGTCTCTTCCACAGTAGCCTCTGGCCTTGTTCTAACTGATGATATTGAGCTTTTCCATTGTCTCTTTCCACAGATGTAGCTGATTTGACTTCTGTGTGTTCCATCTAGTGAGGTCCACGTGTATAGTCGCTGTTTATGTTGTTGAAGACAGGAATTTGCAGTGAAGAAGTTGTCAGTTTCACAAAATTCTATCACACAATCTTGTCATTTCTATCACCAAGGCCATATTTTCCAACTCCAGATCCTTCTTTGTTTCCCAGTTTTGCAGTCCAAACACCAGTAATTGTCAATTCATCTTGATTGCATATTTGATCAATTTCAGACAGCAGAAGTCAGTAAAAATCTTCAGTTTCTTCTTTGGCCTTAGTTGTTCGTGTGTAAATTTGAGTACTACACTTATTAACTGGTCTTCCTTGTAGACGTATGGACATTCGGTCACTGACAATGTTGTACTTCAGAACAGATCTTGAAATGCTCTTTTTGATGATGAATGTGATGCTATTCCTCTTCAAGTTGTCATTCCTGGCATAGTAGACCATATGATTCTGTGATTCAAAATGGCCAGTACCAGTCCGTTTCAGCTCATTAATGCCTAGGATATTGATGTTTATGCATTCCATTTCATTTTTGATGACCTCCAATTTTCCTAGATTCATACTTTGCACATTCCATGTTCTGATTATTAACAGATGTTTGTAGCTGTTTCTTCTCATTTTGAGTCAAGCCATATCAACAAATGGAGATCCCGAAAGCTTGACTCCACCCATGTTATTATGGTTGACTCTACTCTGAGGAGACAGCTCTTCCCTGTCGTATTTTCATTGCCTTCCAACCTGAGAGGCTCATCGTCTGACACTATATCAGAAAATGTTCTGCTGCTATTCATAAGGTTTTCAGTGGCCAATTTTTTCTGAAGTAGACTGCTAGGTCTTTCTTCCAAGTCTTAGTCTGGAAGCTCAGCTGAATCCTGTCCACCAAGGGTGACCCTGCTGGCATTGGAAATACTGTTGGCAAAGTATCCAGTATCACAGCAACATGCAAGCCACCATAGCACAAGAAACAGACTGACATGTGGTGGAAGAAATTAATAGGCTCCTCAAATATAACTGTAATAGAATTGAAAGATGTAGACCATGTTTTGGCTATCTTCTCACCTCTAGAGGGTTTGCTCTTGTTAACTGGTCCAGTACAGGGAGCATGTTATTTCCAGTTATGGTAATCCCTGCTCCGTATGGGCATAATGGCACAGATATTGTTGCCGTCAGGGATGGAAGGATGGAAGTTTATTTTGTTTTGAACGAATTACTCTATATCAGTTGTTGCTGTTAGTGGCCATCAAGTCAACTCTGACTCATGGTAACCTTAAGTTCAACAGAGTGAAACATTACCTGATCCTCCAACATTCTCTAAATCACCAGCATGTTTATTTCCATCATTGTGACTGTTGTGCCAATCCATCTAAACTAATCCATCTTGTATGCCCTCATTGGCCCTCTATTTCGCCAAACATGATGTTCTCCTCCAGCAATTGATACCTCCTAATGATGTATCCAAAGTAAGCAAGTCGGAAAATGTTCTGGTGTGATCCATAAGGTTATTAATGGTTAATTTATGGAAGTAGATCACTAAGATTTTTTTCCTAGCCTGTCTTAGTCTGGAAGCTCTGCTTTAATCTGTTCACCATGGGTAACTCTGCTACTATTTAAAATACTGGTGGCATAGTTTCCACTATCATAGCAACATGCAAGCCACCATAGTACGACAAACTGACAATGAGTGGTGGGATTACTCTATATAGAAGTTCTGAATAACTGCCAACTTTTGAAAGTCTGAAATATTACAAAAATAAGTTAACAAAAGGAACCTTGAGGATGTAATATAAAAATAATATCACAGAAGAAATAATATCTGGGTAGAAAAAAAAGTTTTTGCTCAACTTCGCATTGATGGTTATAAACGATAGAGGAAATATTAAAGAGAACATTATTTTAAGAAAATATACTTCCCGCTATAAAAGAACCTACTACCCACCGATGATGAAATGGCTAAACATCTAGGAATCAACCATAGTTATCATTTGAATCTCTCTCTGCAATCAACACATTTGCTACATTTCCACTGTTAAGAATGCTGCTCCTTGAGGCCTTTTTTCATTCTTTAAGATAGCGTTTTTAAATACTAAGAGTTGCATATTTAAGAGATTGACTTTCCATTGACGAAGACTAAAATTTTCCAGGGGCTTTGAGCTGGAAACTATGGCGATGGCTTTTGTAAATATCCCATTAGCATAATAAGCAGTCACTTTTTATTTTGAAGCGGGAATACACATTTTATCCAGTATTAAAAATAGATAATTGAGATTATTTTTCAACTAATTTTATGAACCACTACATGTAAAAGTCATTATATGGAGAGACTGTGTGCTCCAAGTAAGGTTAGTGTTCTATGAACTAAGCTATTGTGCTGTTGGACACCCATTTATCTAGTGTTCAGAGCTCTTAGATAAAATAACTTCTTTTAATGAGTAATTACATTCACAGAAGAAAATGACCTCATCTCACTTGATCATCTGCAACCATATAAATTTCTTTTTAAAAACAAAAACAAAACAAAACCAGAAAACCAATGATAACAACAGTAGAGAAATGGTTCTTTTTATATGTACCTTTCTTTTCTGTGCTGATTAGTAACTTTTTTAAGGTGCTGTTTTTAGATGTCAGCATGATGATGATATACTAGTGAAGACTAAATGAACTACCTATCACCTGCTTAGAAATATTTTGTGTTTCTTGTCGATAACAGTATCAAAAGGAATTTATTAATGTTCCTGTTGTTAGCTGCTGTCAAGTCAGCCCCCAACTCACGCTGACACCATGCAGAACAGAATTAAATGATGCCTGGTCCTGTGTCACCACCATGATTGGTTGCAGATCGAACCATTGTGATCATTAAGGTTTTCATTGGCTGATTTCTGGAAATAGACCACTACACCTTCCTACGTAGTTTGTCTTAGATGAGTTTGGAAGCTCCACTGAAACGTGGTTAGTATCATGGACACACTCAAGGCTACACTGACAGATGAGTCGTGGTTGCAGATGAGGTACATTGACTAAGAATCCAGCCGGGTCTCCCTCATGGAAGGCTGGATTTCAACCACTGAACCTTCATTGCCTCCTTAATTTATTATTACATGTGGATATATTTCATCCTATTTGTGGGTCTTTGACTATTCAGAACTGTGTTACCTTTAATGAAGACAGCAGGCAAATCTTTACTGATATCCTTTATGATTCCCAAACGGTGCCAAGGATCATTGGAACCATTGGAAAAGATGATTTTGCTTCCAATCACATTGAAGCCACCATAGTACTTGTTGGTGTTCCTAACACCCCAAACTGCTAAATCTCTGCCGAACTTAGGGCCAAAGACATCTGAACATGTATGAAAAAAAAACCTGCAAAGAAAATGAGAGAAAATTGCAAGAGCTGGAGAACAGGGTGTGGAATGTACTAAAGATATCTACAGAAAGAGTGTACTTTTCTTTTTTTTTTAGTTATTTTGTTTTCATCTGAGAATCTGAGTTACTTAAAATAGCTAAAAGAATTTCTTCAGTTCAAAAAGGAAATTATTTATCTATCTATCTATCTAGCCTACCTATTCCTCTTATTAGTTTCGCTAGTAGTTAAACATGAGAAGAATGTGGCCAGTAAAGTTATTCTCTATCTGCAACTTGGCCTACCCAATGTAGAGCCTTGGTAAGGAAGCTATAGTCACCACAGGCTGCTGTTTCCTGGATGCCACCTATGGTTTCAGAACAAGGAGAGCAGAAAAGCGTATTCTTTGCCTTCCCAATGAACCCACACTTAAGCCTGTGTTGCCCGATTAGGGTCCGTGCCCTGAAGCAGTCGAGCCAATGAAACATACTCCAAGTGAGAAAGAGAGAGAAAATTAATTTATCAGATGGCACCAACGGAGAGTCCCACAGCCATGCAGGCTGTCTTTGTGGAGTTCCAAAATGCAATTTTAGATTAGAGTTTATATATGATTTTTACAAGGATTAGAACTGTCTTTGTAGCACACAGATCGCATGGCCAGAGGAGTTATTCATTACAAGATAATTACAAAAGACTTTTTATCAGACTAAAGAGATACATGCCAGACACCTCCTCATCAGGCTAAAGATATACACACTGGACATCTAGGCTCTAATCCCCATATCGGGGGTCATAAGTCACAGGTGGCCGGACAGAGAAAAACAAATTCATTAAGAAAGCTATGAGAAAAGGAGAAGGCAGGCAGGAAAAAACTTATAGGTTCATCATAGCATTAGTTAGGTCAAGCTCTCATTCGTCCATTATGAAAAGGAGAAAACATGCTGTGAAGTATTAGGATCACACCTAGACTAGTAACCACTGAGGGAGGAAGGACTTTCAATGCATAGACTGCCTGGTTGTTGAGGAGGAAGAGAGCACAGAGGTGGTGAGAGCCAGAGACTGTCTCCAATGCCTAGAGGTGTGACCCAGGGCTCCTCCACACATTCCATTTCAGTTGGTCTAGCCTGGAGTGTTTGGAACCCATAGGAAAGACTGAAGAAGTAAAAAAAAAAAAAAAGCAAGATTTCCCCTCACAAGTCCTAGGAGCAAAAAAGATATGCAAAGGAACAAAGAGTTAAAAAGGTAGAAGGGCCTTTTCTCCACAGTCGTGGAACAGACACCAAAAGAAGTGAGGCTACAGTAGGTATTTGCCACCATACAGGTACCTTCACCCTAGACACCACTCTTAAAAAGTGTGGTCCAGTTAATACACTTGACTTTGATTAATTCATAGCTCGATTCCTCATTAGGGAATTTGAGGGTTTGGGGACTTTGACAGAAGAAACTATACGCGCCAAATTCATACTTCTCCCCCTACTGTATACTTTTATCATGAGTTTATCCTTCAAGGTATTTTTACATGTTATAATGTCTATGCATCTTTATGTACAAAATATCGGCAAGCACACAAACTCACTTATAAATAAAGAATCTCTCTCCTGCAATTTTAAGTGTCAAATTGCCTTTAAGGTTCTTCATATTTATTAGCTTCTGTTTCTAATGCACAATTCTAGAGTTCAGGAACCATATCTTGCTCTACAAACGCAGTAAATATGAACAAAGATCATAAACCAATGAGAATAAAGTTGACTAAGGGAGATCTGTCCTGCTTGATACAACCAGCAAATCTTGGTTAACTGAATTCAAAAGACATGGACAATTTATCTTCTTTTACTTGCAACTTTGCTGTCATCATGTTACTTAACTGGATTTTTCAATAAACACACAAAGTACTTTCTTGGTAAAAGAGTATTAAATAAAATGACCCTGTAGTGGTAATAAGTAAAACTGAGTCTACTAATGTATTTATTCTTATTAATACTCTAAAACTTATAGTCTGTTTCCTGGTAGCCACTACATAAGGTATTCAGAAATCTGAGATTTTGTTTTATATATCATATTGGAATATTTCTGATGTCTCAAAATTCCATCCAGAAGATTTGTCCCTTAATTTTTCACCACTTTGGGACTGGCCAATCCGATAAATTTATTCTTCCCTTTAAATAGGGAAAAGCAAAAAACCTAAAACTCTTCAATCATGGTTTCTAGTGACAAACGTAATTCAAGGCAGAGCTTTTACCTGAGAGGTGTTCCAGAGAAGGGCTGGTTCTTTGACTCCGTGGTCTTAAAGAAGCCAAATTCAGTGCAACACTGATAGAACCATTGCCTGTCTAGAAAACAAAACATAAGTTGACTTAACCAGTAATGACATTTTTTGTCCATGACCAAGTAAACAGCTTAAAAAAATTTAAGTATTCTAATTTACTTGCTTCTCCTGACCTTCTAAAACAAATTTGATCTCATTATTGCAAAGTTATTTTTGTCATGTCCAACATTATCACACCAAGAAGTGAAACTACGTCCAATGAAAAGAAGGTGCTGGTGAAAACCCCACATGCTCCTGAAGTAAAACCTCTCTAGTTCCAGGACCATCTTTATGAGCACCTCAGGTCTGTCTCACTGTCTGTCCTCTGTTTCCAGCCTCTGTGGGAATATGCTCCTTTCTCTCTGCTTCCTCCTCTAGTTAACTCCCCCTTAGAATCTCCCAGGTCCTTCTTGGAAAAGGTTCTTGAAGAAGGGATGCACACTCAATGCTCCTGTCCTCACCATCTCCTCAACCTTAATCACACTGGACTGCAACTTCTTCCCCAGAGGTCACCAGTATTGGTAGGATGAGTAAATCAATGGATCAAACTGTGGATGATAACTTAGAGGTTCAATATATAGAAAGTATAGCAGCTATATCAAGGATTCACATGTCTTTGAGTAATTTACAGTCTTTTTATGCAAATAACACATAAGTTTTATCTTTGCCAAACAGACCCTCTCCCACCACCCCGGAGGTATTTTCACAAACACCACTATATCAATTTTTTTACATGTAGCTGTAAAAAATTAGCATAGTGAGCTTAGGAAAATATTTTGGGGGGATATGGTGGAGGGCAAGTTTGGCACACATAGAAGACGTGCATTATTTTCATAAAAATGGGGTAGTTAAAAACTTTAAGAAGTAGTTGTACTGGAGATAGCTTCAAGCTGTTATTATACTGGATTTCAAATAGGTTAGTAGATGACAGAAAGTCCCTGGTGTTGCAAATTGTATGTACTTGACTACTAACCAAAGGTAGACAATTTGACCCCACTCAGCAGTGCTGCAGAAGAAAGGCCTAGCAACCTGCTTCCAAAAATATTATCGTCAAGAAAACCCTATGGTGCAGTTGTGCTCTGTAACATATGGGATCACCATGAATTGAATCAACTCGAAGACAACAGGTTAGGTCATTCTAGAGTGCAATCAGTTTGACAACTGCTCTATATGGAATTTGAAGTGGGGTGAGCTAGTTTCTTGGCATCAGTGACACTTGATCTATGTTGAAGAGTATTAAGGGGCACCTTACTTTATTCTGCAGCTTGCAATCCTGAGCATTTGTTATTTGTGCCTCTCTTACTGAAGTGATTTAATCTGTGTATGTCCAGCTCATCAACTCATTCACATTCTTTTCCTGTCCTTGAGTTGTGATTCTCAAACTCTTAGTTGTGATTCTTTCATAATTCTTCAGGAGGCTTAATGCAGCCTCACAATTTGAAGAGTGTTTAATCCACATTGTTGTGCTCACGTTGCTCAACCCCGAAAGGAAAGTTTTCCATATTAACCAGATAATACATTACCATACTTCATACGTAGGTAGTCCAAGGAAGAGTTAGACAATTCTTCCACCTCTTCACTATAATTTGTACTAATGCAACGCTTGTGTTTACTCTTAAGGAATAAATGTACAATTTTTGTCAATCTGTCATATGGTGAACCGAGTGAGGCATCAGTCATATTGTCACATAGGGTATCAATGTTGATCTCTTCTGGTTCTCCCTGCAAAAACCAAGATTCAAATTATCCTTACGAGAAAATACGTGGAATGGCTTTCAGCTCCAAATGGAATTCACCTCCAAAAATTATTTTCAATGCATTAACTGATTGCTTTTAATTCAAATAAAGTGCAAATATTCTCTGGTGACTTGGCCTGGAGATCAACTCCTGAAAACTAGCAATCTGCAGAATCTCTTAGAAGCAAGTCAACATCACTTGTGCAAGACACAGAGCTCAAAAAAGCAGTTGCTTTAACGAGGGCTTTTTGGTTTTTAGATCAGTATTTGTTTTGAAAGCGTTCACAGATAAGGAAGCTTTGACTGAGCATACTCTACCTTTCCAGAGCAGTGCTAGAACCTTCGGGAGGTGTAAAAGATGAGAACCAACCCTTTGAAAGGATCTGATTGAAGAAGAGAAAGTACATACAATATGAAAACAGTGATGAGCTACTCCAGGAATTGTGAACGAAGTCAGTGAGGACTAGAATCATGAGGAAAAACTTCTTGAGGAGGTAAGAATTGAAGTGGACCTGGAACATTGTATAAGATTTAAATAAATAGAGATAAGTAGAGTGCATTTGTATGATTTCACTAATATGAAGTATCTAGAATAGAAAAAGATATAGAGATTAGAGTTTAATAGTGGTTACCAGAGTACAAGAGGGACAGAGAAAGGGGAGAACCATTGTACAGGTACCATAAAGTTTTTGTTTATAGGGATGGAATATTTGGCAGTGAATATTGGTGATGCTTGTACAAAATGATTAATGTAATTGTTTTTATTGTATTGTACACGTGAAAAAGGTTGAACTGGCAAATGTTGTGTTCTTTACATTTTTACATCAATAAAATTAAAATAAAAAAGGATAGTGCATTTTAAATAAGGTGAACAATATGCAGGGAGAAGTGGTAACAGGGATGTGCAATATTTAAGAGGGAAATGTAAACAGGCATGGATGTGTGACCTTGCGTTAGTTAACTGTCTGAGACTCAGTTTGCTCAGGTGCTCAATGGGAACAGTAAGAATAAAATAATCAGATTAACACATAAGTTTCCTATAAGGATTAAATGAAAGCAGCGCTTAAGAGAGTACATAGAACAAAGGTTATTCAATTAAAAACAGCATTGTTATTATAATGATTATATTTTTTGTTCCTTTTTTATAATTGTCGTAAGTATATGGGTAACCTCATTAATAACCTTCGATGGGCAGATGACACAACCTTGCTTGCTTTAAGTGAAGAGGACTTAAAGCACTTAATGGTGAAGATCAAAGACTATAGTATGGATTACACCTCAATATAAACAAAACAAAAATCCTCACAACTGGACCAATAAGCAACATCATGATAAACAGAGAAAATATTGAGGTTGTCAAGGATTTCATTTTACTTGCATACACAATCAATGCCCGTAGAAGCAGTAGTCAAGAAATCAAATGAAGTATTGCATTGGGCAAATCTGCTGCAAAAAACTTCTTTAAAGTATTGAAAAGCAAAGATGTCACCTTGAAGTCAAAGGTGCACCTGAACCAAGCCATGATATTTTCAGTTGTCTCAGATGCACAGGAAGGCTGGACAATGAATAAAGAAGGCCAAAGAAGAACTGATGCCTTTGAATTATAGTGATGGCAAATAATACTGAATATACAACTGACTGCCAAAAGAATGAACAAATCTGTCTTGAAAGAAGTACAGCCATATTGCTTCCTGGAAGTGAGGGTGGTGAGATTCCATCTCATGTGCTTTGGACATGTTATCAGGAGGAACCAGATCCTGGATAAGGATATCATGCTTGGTATGGTATAGGGCCAGCAAAAGAGGAAGACCTTCAATGAGATGGATTGACATGGTGGCTGCAACAATGGGCTCAAACACAGCAACGATTGTGAGGATGGTGCCGGACTGGGCAGTGTTTCATTCTGTTGCACACATTGTCACTGTGGGTTGGAACCAACAATACAGCACCTAACAACATCATCAACAACAAAATATACATAACAGATCATTTGCCATTTCTACAATCTTCACATGTACAATTCAGTGACATTAATTGTGATTATCATGTTGTTCAAACATCACCATATTATTATTCTTATTTAGTCAAGAGAGATATCTAACAAGAAAAATAGTGAAAATAGCTATTGACCATAGAATATGGCTAGATTATAGAATTCTTTAACTTTGAAGAGGTGGAATAATAAGGAATCATTCAAAGTTTTAAACAGATAAGTAACTTAATTGAAAAGATACTCAAGGAGGATTGACCCAGGTGGAGGGGGTGGGTTGTATCTATAAGAGGTTGAGAGAAGTCCTAGCTTTCTGTTACTGACCAAGTTATTGACTTCAAGATATCCTTTCATGTAGGAGTAACCAATTGAAATGCCATAGGCCACAAGGAAAGGGATTTGGGCAGAAATGCATGACTTTTCTCACCTCACTTGTTAAGAGTCATAAAAGTCCATTCTTAGATATTCTTAGAAAGAAAAACGTATTGCTAGCAACATATTAATTAGGGAACTGGGACTATCTCTTCTACACACCCATTTTAGCAATGATATTATATTACTATGGCATGCTGACACATCTGTTTCCTGAGTTTGGGATGGGAGTGGGGTGGAGTTTTTTGTTTTGTTTTTTTTTTGGTCTGGTTTTCATTTGGGGGAAAAGAAAGGAAATGATCTGACAGTAAAATACTCCCTCTTGCCAGAAACAGACCATGTGTTTCTAATTAGGAAGCAGTGTAGTGTCTTTTCAGCTGAGCAGTACATCAAATCTTTGTTAGGCCTGGTAGACGCTGAGAAATGAAACTTAGCTTCCCTATGTTTGAGAGAAGTTAGTCGCTTAGTTTTCACATTAACTGTAGACTTAACTGCAGACTGTGGCTTGGCTTTTCAATCACACTCCACCCTAATTCTAGCATCAAATGTAGAAAAATAGAACTAAACCCCATTAAGTTGAGAAAGACAAGATAGGAGCTCTCCTAGATCCTTCAGAGAGATCATGATCCTAATGGCCCCCTGAATTAGACTTCTAGCCTACAGAACTGTGAGACACTAAGTTTCTGTTGTTTAAAACTACCTGGTGGGGCCGTAGTTAAGAGCTAGAGCTGCTAACCAAAAGGTCAGTAGTTCATATCTGCCAGCTGCTCCTTGGAAACCCTATGGGGCAGTTCTACCCTGTCCTATAGGGTCACTATGAGTCGAAATCTACTCAATGGCAACAAGCTTGTTTATTTATTTATTTATTTAATTTCCTTTACAGTACTTTGTTAAGGTAACACTAGGAAACTACTACAATGTTCCATGATGTAGATGCATTAGTCCCAAGAGGCCTGGATCTATGAAAACCTGCCTCATGGGGTATCCTGTTATGAGTCGCATACGTAACAAGATGCAGAAAACGGGGAGGAAGACATAGAGATCTATCTTGACTCAAACCAATGTTCCTTCTCCAGATACTTATAAAACAAAACAAAACAAAAAAACAAACCAAAAAAAAAAAATCGGAACGGAAGCCAGATAGAGTCTCTCTTCTAAAAGAGGATATGATCTAGTAGTAGGAATGTACCCATAGGATGCCAAATGAGGTACAGAAAACTACATATAATAAACCCCTTGCCGTCAAGTTGATTTCGACTCATAGTGACCCTATAGGACAGAGTAGAACTGCCCCATAGAGTTTCCAAGGACAATACAAGAAGATCACAAATTAAATACTGGGAGTGTGGAGAAATGGTTAAAGAAAGTAGAGGGTGCATCTGCTTGGTGCAATGAGGAAAGATTTCATGGGGGAGGTGGCTTTTGAAATGCACTTAATGTATTTTGATGGGAATAGACATGAAGGGCATTCAAGAAGGCTAGAGTAACATGAGGAGAAAGGAGGTACAGGTGAGTACCTGTTATGGATTGGATAGTTTCCCCCAAAATATGTTGTAAATCTTAACTTTTGTCTGTGGTTATATTTCCATTTGTGAATAGGCTGTGTTTGTTATTTTAATGAAGTAGAGTTATGTTATGTTAATGAGGATTAGGTTATGTTTGTTATGTTAATGAGACAGGATTAGGGCCTATCTTAAATCAGTCTTTTTTGAGATATAAAAGAGATTAAACAAATAAGGGAAAGAAGCAGAGATGGGAGGCACATAAGGATCACCCAGGAGCAGAACCTCAACCAGACAAGGATCTTCCTCCTGAGAGAAAAAGCCTTCCTCTAGAGCCAGCATCCTGAATTTGGACTTCAAGCCTCCCAAACTGTGAGAAAATGAATTTATCTTTGTTAGAGCCACCCACTTCTGGTATTTGTGTTATAGCAGCACTAGATAACTAAGATAGTACCAGAGCAGCAAATTGTAGAATTTGGCTAGAACAGAAGTTATGAAAACTGGAAGAAGGGGACTTCCTATAATGGCAGACTGTACATATGTTGTAGTAATTCATTCTGTTGATGAAGAAGAGTTTTAAGGGTTCTTTAGCAAGGAAAGAGCCCTGGTTAAGAGATCAGACTGCTATTCAAAAGGTCAGCAGTTTGAATCCACCAGCTGCTCCTTGAAAACTATGGGGGCAGTTCCCCCGTGTCCTACAGGGTTGCTATAAGTCGGAATCAACTTTATGGCAACAGGTTTGGTTTTTTGTGCTTTAGGAAGATTGATCTGGAACTTTATAGAGGAAAGAGTGGGTTGGAGGGAGATAGGAGACTGGAAAACCAACATAAAGGCCTATTAAGGATCTGAATGATAATAGGGGAAGGATAACAGTGAAGGAGGGCATGGCCCAAATGGTCTGTCTTACCAATGTTTCCCCAACACATAACACAGTGCCTGGCACTAAACTGGTACTCAGTGTGGCAGGCTGGAAGCAAGGGAGGAAGAGAGAGACAGACTGTGAGAAGGAATGGAGAGAAAGAGGGAGGGAAGAAGGGGAAGTGTTAGAGACATTGCCCATTAGGACCTTGGGAACTTGTGTGAAATGTTCTTAACTCATAATTATCAAGCCTTACACAAACACAAAACGTGCATGTAAAAATTGCTGAGCTCCAAGTAAGATTTATAGTCTAGTTAACCATATTTCGACAATGTAGATTGGTTTTTATAATGTACTGTAGTTATATAAGATGCTAATATTGGATAAAGCTGGATGAAAGGAACATGAGACTTCTCAGTATACTTTGTGTAATTGCTCGTTAGTCCATAATTAGTTCAAAATAAAATAATTTAAAAAAATGTCAATGCAAGTTGCAAATCATTTCCATTTCCTTGTTCTATCAGACAAATGTTCTTGTTGTTACTCTCTTTGGCAGTTTACCAGGCTGGGTTAGAACAGAGTGACCTGTGGGGTGAGGCTGCCTTGGTTAGGTACCTCAGTTTCAGGGACATGTCCCTTAATCTCTGACGTTCCTGAAAACAAACAAAAAAAAGAAACATTTCCCTAATCCCCCAAAAAGTTATTTTTCTAGCTATAGCAAAGTTCACAAATTTTCCATTTCAAAACCTGTCTTATTCCATGAGGCAGTGCAAAACAGCTAAAAAATTTTATATTCAAGTTTTCATTTAAATTTCCTGCATCTGAAATTTATTCAAATCCAAAAATTCACCATCTCTTACACTTCAGTCTACACAAGACATAATTCAATTCCTTTCTATTTGCTTATAATTGTTTAATTGTTACTTTTCAGTCGGTCAATTTCGGGGTACTCCTACTTAATAGGATAACTTTCTCAAGTTTTTGAAATAAAAGACTATAATGAAATAGTTGAATTCTGATGTACAGTCAATCTATTATTCTATTATTTTAAAAGAGTTTCTGAGTACATTTAGAATAAAAGATGAGTAAGAAGAGGAAGTTGTTAGAGTTTAAGATAATTTGGTAGCACACGTTTCATCATTTAGCTTGGTACTCAGACTGGAGGCTTCTATGCATGATTTTAATTTTTAAAGAAACTCCCAAACATCCTTCTCTTCAACTAATTTACGGCAACTGGACAACTACTCAATGCTTGCTTGAAATTTTCTTTTTTTCTCCATAACTTTTCACCCCTTTCTTTCTTCATTTTCTTACCTTAATAACTTTGTTAACCTGTTTATGAACAAAGGATTGAACAAGATGTATCATATTCTCCATGAGAAAGGCTGTTTCCCTTGGTGAGTGAATTTTAATAGGTTCACATAACCTGTGGGAAAGAAAACAAGAAAACAAGAGTAAAGTCAATTTCACTTGAACTTCAAACCCCAAATGTAGAGAACAGTCCAAAATGAATGAATACTAGATTTCTTCAGAAAGTTTATACTGTGGAAGGAGGAATAAGTTATGGTCACTACTTCTAAGTTTTCAAAATATATCTGTGAAAATAATTCCATCCAGCATTTGTGTAACAATACCGTTATCAAAATACTTTCATTTTAGTCAACCCATTGAACCACAAAAATTCTGTGACCATTTTGATCAAGACTTGTCTCTGAAAAATTAAGATTGCAGGAGACTCATTTTTTAAGGAATGATTCTGTAATATATAATTAATACAGATTAAAATGATATTCAATGCTCTTTCCAATTATACTGGCCAACAATATACGTATATTGATCCCATTCCTATGCCGCCACACACACACACACACACACACACACACACACGTACACACACAGTATATATTAGCAGGTCACTAACACTGAAATAAAGATGCCGAGGAAGTCTTAGGTTATAGGGAGGGATCACAAGGACTATCTATTTTGCGTCTGACACTATTGCAGCCTACCCAAGGCATGTAATGTTTACAAATAGTCTGTTGTGTTTGAATCTTGGCCTCTCCCCATAGTCGTTAGCAAGGCATGGAGTTCTGCAGGGATTCTTCCCCCACCTCCAACCTTGGGAAAGGAGCCTAATCTCTGAGCCCATCTGTTCTGTTGGTGATGGCTGGGGACACGGTGCCTAGCAGTGTGAGTAAATTGTGAAGGAAGAAGAAATAGCTCAGTGTCAGAAACCTAGTAAACACACAGTGAGGACTGAAAATACCTCTCCCTTGACAGGGGACTAACCAAAGCACAAAGACAGCATTTAGGTGAATGAAATTTAAGACCCAAAGAAGAAAGGGCAGGAGGAGGTCACTGCCAGTCTTAGTTATCTAGTGCTGCTACAAGAGAAATACCACAAGTGGATGGCCTTAACAAACAGAAATTTATTCTCTCACAGTTTAGGAGGCTGTTGTTGTTGTTAGATGCCGTCTGGTCAGTTTTGACTCATAGCAACACTATGTACTACAGAACTGAACACCTCCTGGTTCTGTGCCCTCCTCACAATTGTTGCTATGCTTGAGCTCAATGTTGCAGCCACTGTGTCGATCCATCTTGTTCAGGGTCTCCTCTTTTTCACTGCTTGTTTACCAAGCATGAGTCATTCTCCAGGGAGTAGTCCATCCTGATCACATGTCCATAGTACACAGGAAAGTGTCTTTTACATTTCTTGTCATAGTTAAATGAACACCTCCAGTTCTGCAACCATTTGTTGAAACATCTCAATTGGTGTTCTGTCAATTCATGCAGACTAGAAGTCCGAATTCAAGGTGCCAGCTCCAGGGGAAGGCTTTCTCTGTCTCTGTCAGCTCTGGGGGAAGGTCCTTGTCATCAATCTTCCCCTAGTCTAGGAGTTTCTCAGTGCAGGAACCCTCGATACAAAGGATGCCATCCAATATTGGCTCTTCTTGCTTGGTGGTGATGAGTTCTCTCCCTCTCTGCCTGCCTATCTCTTTCATATCTCAAAAGAGATTGAGTTAAGATACAACCTAATCCTGTAAGTTTTGTCCTTCCTTCCTCATTGACATAACTGCCTCTAATCCTGCGTCATTAACATCTCAGAGGTTAGGATTTACAACACATAGGATAATCACATGAGATCATAAATAGCGGACACCACATAATACTGGGAATCATGACTTAGCCAAGTTGACATATACTTTGGGGGAACACGTTCAACCCATGACATTGCCTGATGTGGATTTTACATATCCGGATTCAGTACAAATGTATTTAAGTCTAAGAATTAAAAGGAGACTTAGAGTTCACCATGAGCAAAGAGAAAGGGGAAGACAATTATAGATCATATGTCACTGATCTCTCAAGTGAGTCCTGGTTGTGCAGTGGTTAAATGCTTGACTGCTAACTGAAAGTCTAGCAGGTTGAACCCACTAGCTGCTTTGCCGGACAAAACCAAAAAAGCAAGCCAGTTGCTGAGGAGTCAGTTTCAGCTCATAATGAACCTATAGGACAGGGTAGAACAGCTCCATAGGGTTTCCAAGGAGCAGCTGCTGGATTCCAACTGCCAACCTTTTAGTTAACAGCTGAGCTCTCAACCACTGTTCCCGTAAAGATTATAACCTAGAAACCCTATGGGGCAGTTCTATTCTGCCGTATAGAGTCACTAAGTGTTGGAATTGACTCTGCAGCACACAACAACAAAAACAACAATCTCCCAAACAGGGGAAACCTGGAATAGGACTGGATACTGCCTTTTCAGATACAGTATGGTGGAAGCAGAGATGATGTATCCTGAGATGATATCTCTCCAAGTAGCAGGAAGTCTACAAAGACTGTGTTGTGCTGAGAATGGAAAAAAATTTGAAGTAAAAGAGCTGAACAGAAGATTTAAAAGGGTGGTTGGAGAAGACAAAGTAAAGTATTGGAATAAAAGGTGCAAAGACCTGAAGTTAGAAAACCAGAAGGGAAGAACATACTTGGCATTTCTCAAGCTGAAGGACCTGAAGAAAAAAATTAAGTCTCACATTGCAGTACTGAAGGTTTCCATGGGCAAAATATTGAATGATGCAGGAAGAATCAAAAGAAGAGGGAGGAACTACTCAGAGTCACTGTACTAAAAAGAATTGGTTGATGCTCAACCATTTTAGGAGGTAGCATATGATCAAGAACTGACGGTATTAAAGGAAGAAGTCCAAGCTGCACTGAATGCATTGGTGGAAAACAAGGTTCCAGGGATTGACAGAATACCGACTGAGACATTTTAACAAATAGATGCAATGCTGGAAGTGCTCACCTATCTATGCCAAGAAATTTGGGAGACAGCTACCTGGCCAACCAACTGCAAGAGGTCCATATACATATGAATTCCAAAGAAAGTTGATCCAACTGAATGATGAAGTTGTTGAACGATATCACTAATATCACATGCAAGTAAAATTTTGCTGAAGATAATTGGAAAATGGTTACAGCAGTACATCAACAGGGAACTGCCAGAAATTCAAGCTGGATTCAAGAGAGGACGTGGAACCAAGGATATCATTGCTGATGTCAGGTGGGTCATGGCTGCAATCAGAGAATACTGTTTACCTATGTTTTGTTGACCATGCAAAGGCATTTGACTGTGTGAATCCTAGCAAATTATGGATAACAGTTTGAAACATGGGAATTCCAGAACACTTGTGTTCATGGGTAACCTGTGCATAGAGTAAGAGTCAGTCATTTTAACAGAACAAGGGGATACTGCTTGGTTTAAAATCAGGAAAGGTTTGCTCCACTGTTGTATCTTTTCAACATACTTATTCAATCTGTGTGCTGAGCAAATAATCTGAGAAGCTAGTCTATTTGAACAAGAACCTGTCATCAAGATTGGAGGAAGGCTCACTAACAACCTGTGATATGCAGATGACACAACCTTGCCTGATGAAGTGACGAGGACTTGAATCACTTACTGATGGAAATGAAAAACCATAGCCTTCCTTATGGACTGCACCTGAACATAAAAAGAACAAAAATACTCACAACTGGAACCAATAAGCAACATCATGATAAATGGAGAAAAGATGGACGTTGTCAAGAATTTCATTTTCCATGGATCCACAATCAACACCCATGCAAGCAGCAGTCAAGAAATCCAAGGACACATTGCATTGCAAATATTGGCTGCAAAATTCCTCTTTAAAGTGTTAAAAATGAAAGATGTCACTTTGAGGGTTAAGCTGATCCTGAACCAAGACATGATATTTTCTAACACCTAATACGCATTCAAAAACTGGATAATGAATAAGGAAGGTCCAAGAAGAATTGATGCCTTTGAATTATGGGGTAGTGAAGAATATTGAATATGGCATGAATTATCAGAAGAATGAACAAATCTGTCTTGGAAAAACTATAGCCAGAATGCTCCTGGGAAGGGAGGATGGCAAGACTTGTTTTATGTGGTTTGGACATGTGATCAGGAGGGACCAGTCCCTGGAGAAGGACATCATGCTTGGTAAAGTAGATGGTCAGTGAAAGAGAGGAAGACCCTCAAGAAGATAGATTGACACAGTGTCTGCAACAATGGGCTAAAGCAATGATTGTGAGGGTGGCATAGGACCAGGTAATGTTTTGATCTGTTATACATAGAATTGCTATGAATCACAGCAACTTGATGGCACCTAAGAACAACAAGGACAGACCCAGAAATCTGTATGTTAAACATCACCACATGTCTTTGGGTCTTGTGGGTACACTACACCTACTATTCACAGCAGTCTAGCTATTCTATGAGTCTAGGAAAACATATTTTAACATAATTATTAAATGCTAACTCTTTTTGTTAAGTTTAAATAAATCAGGCCTTCGTTTCCTAGAGGCAGAGCTTGGCATAATTAACTGGTAGTTGGAAAGCACAGATATAATCTCAGAATTTTTGAAGTGACTTTACCTAACACTCTTTCATTTTATAGATGAGGAAACTGAGGTCCATAGGACTAAGGTAACTTATTATCATATTCATTATACAGTAGCTGTAATATCAGAGGTTTTTTTTTTAGAATGTTTAACATTTTCTTTCTTTTGTATTTTTTAAATTGTTCGCTCTTTTACAGAAATTAGTTTGTTCTGTAGTATCAGAGGCTTTTGATAAGAAGAAGCTTAATAATTGTGACATCGTAGTCCCCAGCTTTAGACCAGCCAGTGGCTTCCCACCCAATATCCTGAGAGGTTCTTCAGAGTCCAATCTGGCCTAGACTTTCACTTTCAACTCACATGTCCTTTCCATTTTGTCTGCTCTACAGTCATATGGACTTCCATTCAGGTCCTCTCATTACAGGGATTTTGCCTTGATGCTCTCTCTGGAATGTTCTCTGCCTGCCTCTTGCCATCTTTATCTAGATCCTGTTTGTCAGAGAGCTGGTCAAGCATCATATCCTTGGAGAAGTC